TCACGAAAAAACGTATTTGCTTCTTAGTGAGATTTAAGAGAACAATTTTAACCGACTAGTGTTTAAAATTCACAATACAACACTAAACAAACTATATTAAGTATCAACAAGATATGTATAAGGCCTTACGAGCCATTCTCAAGATGTTTTGAGTAGAAACTTGTACGTGTATACAGGGTGTCCCAGAATTGGTTTAACATCTCTCGTAGGCAGATAGAAGGAATAAAACTGAGGTGAAAAGTCCTATACCATTTTGCTAGATTCGCAATAGTTACTGAGATTTTAATTAACAAAGATCCGCGAATAAGCATGCATCGGGCTGTCTTACGTGTATATATATATACATACACATGTAACGAATTCAACTTGTATATTAAGTATGTTTAACGAGCCCCTCGAAACGATGTTTTATTTCACATACTCACTCAATTATCTACTTTCTTTTATAAATGTTGTAAGTAATAAACACGTGAGTACGTATGTAGACAAAAGTACGTATAGAAATATGTAGTTCTTACACATTCTTTGACAATAATTGACGTTGAGTGTTGCAACAGTATTAGAAATTCAGAAGTATAGACTTAATGTGAGCAGCTATACATTACGGCGACGTAAGACAGCGATGCATTTACGAGCTAAAAAGTGCGAACCGTGATTTCATATTGGCTTTAAATACGTTTCTTTGTGTAAATCTTACCGTAGCAGTTTCTATCTTTGCTACCAGTAGATAGCCGATCGTAAGACAAACTTCTTTGCCAGTTTTTTGCAGTAAAAACAAAACAAGTTTCTGCGACGATACAGGCATCAAGTACCACAACGAATCGTATCTTAAAAGTGAACAAATATTATATAAATAATAAATTATTAATATGCAACCATTCCGTAATGACCGATATCGTCAGAAATTTATTTTATTGGTTAAAACGAAAACAAGTGTAAAATAGAACGAGTGCTTTTGAGACAAAATAATTTACACCTTTATGATAAATATCAGCGTTAAAACAAAATAAGTACTTACGTTAAATTATACACTTCGTCATTGCAATCGGTAATCTTTTGTCCGACAAACATTGCCACAAACATATACATTAAATGTCCTACTACGGAGACACAATACAATACTGTATTGTGAGGGATTTTGGATATCGTTACCGCTTCAATGATCTGACATGTTTTAGAAAATTGCGATTTACTAACGGAACATAACTTTACACTGACACACACATAAGATATATATTTTGTTTTTAAAGTTCTTTACTTACGCCATACAAATTAATAGTCAACGATAGCACTCTAAAGATAGCTTTAACGCAGTACAGAGCATTAAATGACGATACTATTATTTTGGAAAACCTTTAAAATTGTCGTAAAAATATTAAGAACATAAAAACCACATAGCTATTAAATATCTTGTATAAGTCACTACATGATAGATGTTAAATAAATTGCAAAATTACAATAAAATAAATACTTTAACCAATTGACGATAAAAATACACATACATATGTGATGAAAAGTTACATTGTATATTTTTCTATGTAAACAATCCACCATACTAATTATAAGAAAACAATATTACAGTGTACTAACACTAGAGCTCGACGGTGTGCAAGTACCGCATACATTATTTCCTTGCAAATAGCGCGTTCTTTTTCAGAATTTGGTATATGCTGCAACACATTGTCGTCTGCAAAGTATCGTATACGATGTCTGCAAACCATTCCATCTTTTCTTCATGATCATAATTGCTATGGTGCGATTAAGACTCACTTTGTGATTTTGAACATGCCGAAAGAGTGAAAAAGTAATATTACTATTTGCATCGATGTGGAAAACATCACCGCTGCGCACAACAGAAGAAACGCAATCTCGTGCAACAAAATGGTATAAAAGTATTTGGTATTCGAAACGAAATATTCCACTCTCAGAAGAAATTCGCGTTGACGAGGTTCATTCAGTGGCAGAATAACGTCAAGAACAATTGGAAGAAATTACAAAAAATCAAAAGAAGCAACGACAAAACAAGCGAAGGCTATACAAAACATAAAAAAAAACATCAAATTTTATAAAATTCGATGCGCAACAAATGAGTATACATCATTATTATTCGTCACTCTTTTTTGTCCTACAGAGAGATTATCGAGTAAAAAATTTGAATTCTTTATATGCACAATATTAAACTCTTTACTTACATAACGTAAGAGTAACGTAGAAATGAGCACTATGAGCATTCTTTTGTATGATATCGTGTTCTACGGTGTCACGCACCAACATCCAGTCTCCTTCTATTCGATTGTGTATATTCAAAATCTGTCAAACATGTTTCTTATTTAATGCTTCACGTTAAATAAAACATATAATCTCAACTTGTGCAACAAAAATAACAGTAACTCACTTCGTCGGATTTAAAAACGAAAACAAAGTACTGCATGACCATTACAGAAAACGGACAAGCCAATGCTGTAACCCTAATAAATAGCGTTATAGTATATTTCTCTGTTAGAAATACTGCAAACTACAAACGTCAAAAAACAAAATCAATGAATCGAACTTTGTTACAATAATCGTTTTGTAATGTACTTTATAAGACTCTCGTCAAAGTGTAAGTTTGTCTCTACTGTGATACAGATAAACCACGCTGTTACCTGCATACAAATATGTGGCACAAGCACTAGTGTAATCACCACGCGCTGCAAAAGTACTAGTCGCGACTTATCATGATGCCAAATACCTAACGCTTTCAATAAGGTTATATGAATGGAATTGTAGTAATGTTCTTTGTTAGAATTCATACTGCGCAACGGACGAAATGTGACCGACCGATATAAAATATCACATAACTTACTTAAGATACATTTGTAAACCTACATCTTTTTTTTTTAAATTATCTGAGAATAGGGTCGAGTACGCGAGAGAAGTGTGCGCAATTACTGATATAATTTTTATGCACTATTCGCGCAATATGTATTAAAAAACGTCTAAGGAAAAGATCGTACTTGCGATATCATCAAGTGGCACGGCAGTGCCTCGCGCCAAGTATATGCGCAAATGAAGTGCGCGCGCGCTGCGCGAGGTACCCCGTGCCTCTTAAACACGAAATTTAGCCGAGAGCCTTTTCGAGATTTTCCGATTTCATCAACGGCTAAACCGATCGAGTTCGGCCTAGACTCGATCGAAAGTTGAGATCGAGGCACGAAAAAAAGTATTTCGCAATTTTTTTCGTCCGTGCCTTCCCAACGGATTTATCTCGCTCCAAAGTCCAAAATCCCGAAAAATTAGGTTTTATAAGATTTAAGAAACATGGTCGTCGTCGTCGGACAGTTAATGCGCGACTTCACCGCCAGAGCAAAACGTGCCCTTTCTCTTCTCACTATTTCTATGTAATTCTTGTCGTCACTAGTGGCGATTTCTATGTATGTAAATCAAAACGAGAAGAGAGAATTTTATATTACACTGTACAATAATAATATAATACAATAATATATATATATATATATGTGGGAATCGTATTCCCCGCCGGTGACGGCGGGTCTGTGTTTACTAGAAGATAAGGCGCGCGCGGCGAGTGACCAAAGAGCGTGATGAAAAAAGAGCACGTCGGGAGTCAGTCTCTGCTGAAGATCGTAGCGCGTCGGATCGAACTGCGAAAGATATTCCATTGTTCTTACATCTTGTACTTTAGGCGAGAGAGAATTAAAACCAGCATTAAAAGAGAAGTCGTTCCTTGTTCGATTCCATTACTCTGATTCCCACAGAGCTTTTTATGGGGGCTCGTCCGGGATCGGCGGAACGGCGGCTAGCAGTGAAAGTGCTTTTAATATTCAAGAGATGTTTTTCTTATTTTGATACATATATATATGAATATATAAAAAGAATAATTAACCCTCAACGGACGGCGTGTTTTTCGGCACCTTAATTCGCCGGACATGGGTCGTTTTCGTCTTGGGCTTTTTAAAAATATTAAATATTTCTAAAAAAATCTGAAACAATGTGTATATACTCTTTAAACTGTCTATTTTAAGACATCATTAAATTTAGTGAAAAAAAAGTTTTAATTCATACTTTTTAGCAAATATGACAACAAGAAACTTACTTTTTTCAGAAAGTAATTTTGCTCCAGACGAAAACAACCCATGTTCGTCCTTTGAGGGTTAAGAATAAGACGCAAACAATTAAGTTATATATAATGCAGTAACAAAAGTGTTTGTCAAAACCATATTCTACAAAAATGTGTGATATCCGAACAAAATACCTTTTCAAAAAAAGGCACAAAAAGACGCCAAGTACTTTTTCTAGAGATACGAGTTGCGCATGTACTTGGCGTCTTTTTTTACCTTTTTTTGAAAAGGTATTTTGTTCGGATTTTAATAGACGAGAATTACCTAAATTGATCAGTAAAAAAGTTGTTACACCGTGCAACGATATTTTGCTTCTTATATCTTTTCTCGCAAGTTCTTCGTTTTCAATTTGCACCTGCGCAGTTGCAACCGCAATTCGTCACTTACTGAGTGACAGCACAGTCTCTTCTCGGCTGTCGGGAGCTACGGAAAGAAATCACGAGAAGACAAAGACGCTTCTTAGTGAGATGTAAGAGAATAGTTTTGACTACAAGTTTGTATTTGAAGATCACATTACAACACTTGACACACC